CCCTCCCCTCTCTCCCAGACACCCTTTCCATCCCCCAGGTACCCTCTCAGACTCCATCCCTATCCTAGAAACCCCCACAGCAGGCTCCAGACCTCACCCTTACCCACCCTCCCCCCGGCTCCTCCCCCACCCTGGCTCTCCCCCCACTTCAATACCCTTCCCTCTTCAGACTCCCTGCCCATGTCCTGGGTCTCTGGGGTCCTAGCCTGATGTCAGAGCCCCAAGCATTCAGCCAGAACGGGGGTGGGGGGACCCCAACAGCCTTTATCCTCTAGCCACAGAGGCCACAGTATAGGGGCCAAGGATCATGGAGGAAGAGGAGAACATGGGGGGGGGGGGAGGCAGGGGAGACATCAGCTGGAGAAAGTGAGCTGAGGATAGGCGCAGGAGCTCACTCACTAGCCATTGGTCACACAGCAGCTCCTCTATCTGGCCTGCATCTCTGTTCCCTTCCCACAGTGTCCAGTCCTCCATTCATGCTGCACAGTCCCAAGTGTGCTAGGCACAGTATCAAATCTGTTGGTGTTTACAAACTGAGTTTTCCAGCAGGTGCTTGGTGATAGCACAGTTCACATAGGACCTCAAGGTCTGGAATGGGAGGGTGTGATGCCATCTCTGAAGTAAAAAATGGCCATGTGCACAATATTGTCTCTCATGGAGTGTCCACACTGTTACCAGGAGCCAGCTGTGGTGATGGCTTCTGGGAGCGAGGGCTGGTGGGACCTGCACACTGTCTACACACATCTCAGAAGGGAAGGAAAGGGCAGCTGGAGACACAGAGGGATGGGTCATCTGTTCATGGGCTCTGCCTCCAACTGGCTTTGCAGTGCTGAGTGTCAAGCCCAAGGTGACACCTCAGCCAGGACCTCTGACCCTGCAGGTCACAGGGAATGTTTCAGAACCCCATATGTCTATGTCATCCTGCAAGGCCTCTTAGGGGAGGCCTGTCATCTCCCCAGGTCCAGTTTTATTGGGGTTGGAGGGAAGGAGCCACAGGGAGCCTGAGGGAAGGGGAGGGTTGCGCCCATGGGCCAGACACCTCCTGCTCTCTCTGATGGCCTTTTCCCCCTCTCTCCTCCTCTCCTTCCTCTTTCACCTCCTCCTCTCTCCCCCTCCTCTTCCCTTTCCTCTTCCTCTTCCTCTTCTCCCACTTCCCTTCTCCTCTCCCTCCTCCTCTCCACCTGACACCTCTTTTTAACCTCCTGCCTACCTCTCTCTCCTATGTCTCTCTTGCTTCCCTGTATCTCTCCATCCCTATCTTCATCTCTGCATGACTCTCTCCCTCTCCTCCCTGCACCTTCTTGCGCACTCTTGTCTCTTCACAGTCAAAAAAGCCAAGTTTGACGGTGCCCAAGGTAAGTGTCCTGTCCTGGCTGTCCTTCACTGTCCCCATGCCCTGTCTTTCTGTCTTTTCTTGTCTGGTCTCCTGGGCCTGAGGAGGGACTTTGGCACCTGTTGCCATGCAGTGGCCAGGTTCATCCCAGGCATGAGCCTTTTCCCCAACCAGGCCAGCAATCCTCTTGGGGAGGGAGGCAGGGTGAGGGAGTACTTGAGATACAAGTGGAACCCTAGGCCTGAACACCGCCAGCCCCAAATTCCAGCCCGAGCTCTGTCCCTTTCATATTTTAAGACAGGGTCTCACTGAGCTGGCTTTGTTAGCTTGGGACTGTAGCTGAGGCTGGCCTTCAACTGGTCATCTTCCTGCAAGGACTGTCAGTCCTCCTGGGGCCTCAGTCTCCCCAGCTGAAAACCAAACCCCTTAGACTTGGCCTCCATTACCCAATGTAAGAATGGATGGTATCTGGTGGTTCTGGGACCCGGGCTTGCCGGTCCACCATTGGGGTGAGGTGAGCACACGGACCTGAGAGGGGACAGCCGGCCATTGTCCCACTCTCTGCTGCAGAGAAGTTCAACACATACGTGACTCTGAAGGTGCAGAACGTGAAGAGCACTACCATCGCTGTGCGAGGCAGCCAGCCCAGCTGGGAACAGGACTTCATGTTGTGAGTGTGAGGCCCCGCCCTCCTCCCCACCGCAGGCTCCACCTCCCCTCTTCTGGCCGCTCCACCCACATTTTACCTACCACAAGCCCCGCCCACAGGCCAGTTCAGACATGGCTCCGCCCACCACACTCATTGCCCCAGTCCCAATCCCTTCTCCCCACCCCCACCACTAGAGACCCCCTATAGACTACAGCTCCAGGCCACATCCACAGCAAACCCACAGGTCACGTCTTAGGACGTGCCCGCAGACCCCGCCCAAACAAACCCCACCTCAGCAGGCCCCGCCTCGCCTCACCAGAGACCCTACCCCCAGACAGGCTCCCTTAACACGGCTGTCCCAGCCCCCACCCAGTGTGGTCATCCTCCCCCCCACCCTCACCCCCATTCTCCCCTTCCTGCATGAAGCCACGCCCATCGCACTACTCTTCCCGACAGAGAGCCCGCCCACCCGCTCATGGCCACAGCTGCCGCTTTTCTGCTCCCTTCTGCGCCATCCCTAGTCCGGTCCCTCTGCCCTCCCTTACGCCCCCCCCCCCGTCTTTTCCCCTCCAGGCAGTGGGAAAGGTTATAAACGCTAAAAGCCTCCTCAATGTCATTTACATAAAACTGTGCCTGATCCCCCCCCACGGCCCCAGCGGCTTCCTCACTTCCTTAGATGCCCTTCTCAACTGGCCACCCCTCCAGGACCCCTTCCCCGACCTGCTGCCAAAATGCTACCCCCTGGCCCTTCTCCCCACCCCACTGCCTCTGCCCATGTGACCTCCGCAGGTACAGTACAGGGGGAGGGTACTCAGCAAATACTTGTTGCTGAATTCCTGCACCCCCAGCCAGGCAGGGCCACAGAGCCCACTTTACAAAGTGACCTCTCCACTGGGCTGTTTTATTTATCTTGAAGACGGGATCTCATGCAGCCCAGACTGGCCTAACTATATGGTTAAAGATGACCCCAAACCGGGGCTGGAGAGTTGGCTCAGTGGTTAAGAGCACTGACTGCTCTTCCAAAGGTCCTGAGTTCAATTCCCAGCAACCACATGGTGGCTCATAACCATCTGTAATGAGATCTGATGCCCTCTTCTGGCCTACAGGCAGGATACTGTATAAATAAATAAATCTTAAAAAAAAATAAAATAAAAGATGACCCCAAACCTGATCCTCTTGCCTCAGCCTCCTGATTACAGATGTGCACCAAAACACCTGTTCCTTGTCCCATCTTTCCTGATGCCTAGTGACCAGGCTGCGCCCCATTCTGAGATTTTTCATTCTTTTAAATCAATCACGTCCATCACCCTGATTGGGGTCTCTGTGGTGAGTTCTATTTTATGGATGAGGAAAAGGAGACCCAGAGAAGTCACTCTGGCATAGGGTTGGCCGGCGTGTGGACTCAGGCATGGCCAACCCCAAGTTACACCTTAGAGGAGTCTGGCCAGGACCTGCTATGGAGGTGTGTGTCCCTTGTCCCCCAGCGTTGTCAGGGCCTCATGACCCGATGAAGGGCCAGTAAGACAGAGGATGTGATGGTCTCTGCTGCCCCATTTCTTCCCTCCTGGATGCACCTCTGGCCGCCTGTGATAGTCTGAGCTAGATGCTCTTTCCAAAGGCCTCAGTTTTCCTCCAGAAAATGAAACCACTGTGTCACCTCTCCGGACACTTGGTCTCCTCCCGGCCGGCTTCCTACTGCAGTTCTCTGTGTGTGTCTTCAGGCCAGTGCCCTGACCTCTCTGAACCTCTCTTCTCCCCTACCCACCCCCCTTACGTCCCCACCTCCTGTGCACACAGCGAGATCAACCGCCTGGATCTGGGCCTGACGGTGGAGGTGTGGAACAAGGGTCTCATCTGGGACACTATGGTGGGCACTGTGTGGATCCCACTGCGGACAATTCGCCAGTCCAACGAGGTGAATGACTGGAGGGGTGGGAGAGTCCTGCAGAGGCCCAGGGCCTTGGGGTCTAAAGAAACTGAGACTTGCCTTCCCCTGCCCCCCACAGTCTCAGTTGGGGTCTCCAGAGTTGTCCCTGGAGGCTCCCCATTGTGTCTGCATCCCAGCCAAGGATTTAGTCTCAGTTAAGGATCCAACCGGCTCTTTCCTGGCCTTGAGCGTCTGGGCATCTGTGTCTAGCTTTGCATCCCTGGACTGTGAGCTCCTCAGGAGCCAAACTAGTGACTAGGGCCTCCTGAGGACTCCAGCACCACCCAGGGTAGACCAGGCTTTGACAAGACACTGGAATCTGTTTTTAAATAAGTGAATGAGGGGGCTAAAGGAACCCCCCTGACACCAAGAACCAGAAACAGCGTAGACGGGGACCACAGGTGTGAGGGTAGATGGTGTCCTTCACGGATGACTGTCATTGCATGAACAATAAAGAAACTGAGGGTCAGAGTGGTCCTCAGGTGCCCACAGTGCTCATGTCCCAGAATGGTGTGGGGGGTCTCGTTCCTGAGGGTGGAACAGTCCCTCACCTGTGAAGTGGCAGGGGACTGGGATAAGAGGCCAGTGAGTGGCCATGCCCTTTCCTGGGGGCTCTGACTCTAGCCCCATGCCTTCACCAATGACAGGAGGGTCCGGGAGAGTGGCTGACGCTGGACTCTCAGGCCATCATGGCAGACAGTGAGATCTGTGGCACCAAGGACCCCACTTTCCACCGCATCCTCCTAGATGTGCACTTTGAGCTGCCCTTGGGTGAGTCCACAGACATGGCCTGACCAGTGTCCCTTCATGGGGACTGAGATGGCGGAGGCTGTGTACTTCAGGGTCCTCCCAACCCATATAGATCCCCGGATGGCACTGCTTCATTACCCATAGGCCTCCTGTCAGCTGGGAATGGGGGGAATGGGATCTTTCCCCGATTTCAGAGCCCCTAGCTTTGGGCCCCAGGGTCAGTAAAGCAATGAATAAATGCGAGGCTCTCTGCTGGCACCATGCACCGATTCTGTCCTTCCTTCCTTCCTTCCTTCCTTCCTTCCTTCCTTCCTTCCTTCCTTCCTTCCTTCCTTCCTTCCTGCCCCTGCCTTCCCACCCTCCCCACCTCCATCCATTCCTGAGGTTCCCCAGGATGCTCCCCACACCACCCAGCCAGAGCCTGAGGGAGGGAGGCCAGGTGTCCCTGGCATCCAGGACATGGCAGCTTTGCTCGCAGACATCCCCGAGGAGGAGGCACGATACTGGGCCAAGAAGCTGGAGCAGCTGAACGCCATGCGCGACCAGGATGAGGTGTGTCACCCAACAGCGGCTGTTGCCTGCTGTGCTTGCCTGTAGCTGGCTTCCCAATGCTCCAGACAGAACCCAGCCACCCCAACCTCTCGTCCCATCCTCCCTGCCAGCCCAGCTTCAGGCTGGCTCTCGTCTGTGTCCCACAGCAGAGACCCACGCGGTGTCCTGGATGGGTGGGGACGGGAGATGGGCCACTGCCTATTCCTACTTGGGTGCACTCTCTGTCTCCCCATCCAGCTCCATGGATGCACACAGTCTGGTGCAGAGGGCTTGTTGGGGGTAAGCCCGTGTCGCCACTGTCCTCTGACACACTGTCCCCTCCTTAGTACTCCTTCCAGGACCAGCCGGACAAGCCGCTGCCTGTGCCCAGCAGCCAGTGTTGTGAGTGCCTCTCCTCCATGGCATGACGGTAGTCACCATCCTGTCTAGAGGTTTGCACCCTGGGGTCAGGCCAAGGCCACACAGCCGATGGCCAACAGCTTGGCAGAGCGGCCCAAGTCTGGTGTGCAGCCAGAAGCCACAGCCAAGCCACACATGATCCTGCCCAGGGCTCGAGTCCCTCAGACACCCAGACACATCCAGGATGGGTCCCCATGCACAGAGGCGTCAGCTCCTGAGTTCTCTGAGGTCCCTACCCGCCCCGTGTGGCCTTCCTCTTCTCATTGTCCACCCAGGACGGTGGGAATGGGACAGCAGTGGGGTTCCCTGGGGGCATCTCGTCAGTCACCCATGTCCTGGAACAGGCCACCATGGGGGTAGCCTTGTGACCCTACAACCTTTTCTGAGATGTGTAGTGTTAGGGTATATGGAGAGCATGGTTGTGTCTCTGGCCCTGCCAATGGGAGGCTCTGTGACTTCAAGCTGCTCACTCACCCTCTCTGAGCAAAAAAAAAAAAAAAAAGAAATTATGTAGACAGAAGACCTAGGGCTGGGGACATGGCTCACTCAGCAGGTAAAGAGTTTGTGACAAAGCACAGGACCTGAGTACAGATTCCTGACACCCCTGTCAAAACTGGGCATGGTGCCAGGACATGGAGGCAGGAGGACCCCTTGGAGCTCACTAACCTGCCTGGTTGGGGAGCCCAAGAGAGCTGATGAAAGACCCCATCCGTCCTCAGACCGAGAGGGGGCGCAGTCCCTGTGTTCTGAAAATTCCTGTGCTGGAGGCGATGTGGGGGGCATTGGGAGGCACTGACCTAGAATGACAGCCAGAAGCCAAGGGTAGCCTGCCCCCACCTCAAGGTCCCAGGACCGGGTGGGGCCTGGGATGAGGGAGATGGCTTGGCTTACCTGCGGCTGTTCTCTTGTAGGTAACTGGAATTACTTTGGCTGGGGAGAGCAGAGTAAGTAACTGACCCCGAGGCCCTCAGGGACCCCAAGGTTCCTTACTACACTGCACAGGGCATTGGGGACCCTGCGGGGTCAGAGGTGGGGCTTCCAGCTATGCAAGGCCAGCAGCAGGTGGGGCCCCCACCTGCCCCCATGTGTGACCTCACCCTACATCTCAGCCTCTGTTCCCCTTGTAGCCCTGGAAGTGGCCCATATCATAAATGTGGGGGAGCGGGGCCAGGTGTCAACAGCAGCCAGGCAGAGACCCCAAACCATTCCTGCCCTTATTCCTAACACCAGCCCAACATGCGTGAGGCCCCTGGTTCCAGCACCAGGTGTCCAAAGCACAGATACTTTTGGTTAAAACCTCGGTCTGGCAGAAGGTGTTACTAGGACACTGGGAAGCTAATGAAGCCCAAAGCTTCAAAACCAAACGGGCTGGAAATGTTTAGGCAGATGCAGGAAGTTGGATCAAAAACCATATGTTGGGGCAGGCAAGATGGCGCAGCCAAGGCTGACGACCTGAGTTCGATTCCTTGGGCCGCATGTTAGGAGGTGAGCGCTGGCTCCTGTAATATTCCTCTGGCCTCCACACAGATGCTGTGTTACCTGTGCCCACAATGGACAGATGCAATATAATAATTTAATAAACATCTGGCAAACAAACACAGACTCCAACTGAGATGGCTTTCCTGTCCAAAATAGCGTTGTCTAGAAAAAAAAATCATTACTTGGAGGGCTTACACAGTTTGAGCTGAGAATAAACAACTGGTCTGTGAGAGTCTGGGTCAGAGAATGCCCCTTTAGCCAAAGACACAAGCCAGATAACTCGGTGGAGAAAATGGTTGGGCAGCAGGGTGCTTGGGTCAGTGTGGCCAACGAGTGTCAGGATGTTTAGGGCACTAGAGGGCGCCCTGCACTAGGAAGTGAGCCTGAGGGGTCCATGTCCAGGCTCTGAAAAAAAAACTAAATCCCCATCCCTGCTCAGGCCTTCTTCAACCTAGATGATGTTGTTGTCAGGTCCCTGTTCTAGAGGGGACACAGTGAGTCCTGCTCCCCGATGACACAGTTGGGTCCCCAATCCTCCCAGATGACACAGTTGGGTCCCCAAGTCCTCCCAGATGACATAGTTGGGTCCCCATGTCCTCTGAGATGACACAGTTGGGTCCCCAAGTCCTCCCAGATGACATAGATGGGTCCCCAAGTCCTCTCAGATGACACAGTTGGGTCCCCAATCCTCCCAGATGACACAGTTGGGTCCCCAAGTCCTCTCAGATGACACAGTTGGGTCCCCATGTCCTCTGAGATGACACAGTTGGGTCCCCAATCCTCCCAGATGACATAGTTGGGTCCCCATGTCCTCCCAGATGACAGTTGGGTGTTGGTCCTCCCTGCTCTGCAGCCCTCGCAAGGGGTGGGGTAGCAGAGGATGAAGATGCCCCAGCCTGGAGGTTGGTAAAGCCCCACTGTGCCCACTCCTTCCTCCTGCAGATGAGGACCCCGACAGTGCGGTGGATGACCGGGACAGCGACTATCGGAGTGAGACCAGCAACAGCATCCCGCCACCCTACTACACGACATCGCAGCCCAATGCCTCTGTGCACCAGTACTCCGTGCGGCCGCCCCCTCTGGGGTCCCGGGAGTCCTACAGTGACTCCATGCACAGTTATGAGGAGTTCTCAGAGCCTCGGGCACTCAGGTGGCTGGGGGCTGGGGGTGCATGCCTTTAATCCCACCACTTAGGAGGCCTGCCTGGGTCAAGTTGGACCGATCTCACGGAATGTTTTTATTTATATTTGTTTCTTTTGTTTAGTGGGGGGCATGTATTATGGGGGTGTGTATGTGGGGTGTCAGACAACAACTTTTTTGCTCTCTCCTGCTACCTTGTGGGTCCCTGCATTGAACTCAGGTCGCCAGGCTTGGTGGCGAGCACCTACCTGTACTCACTGAGCTATCTTACTGGTCCCTGGTGCTTTGTTTAACACCAGAGCCTTTATTTAAGATGGGGAGGCAGGAGGATCAGGACTTCACAGCTATTCTAATTACATTGGGAGTTGGAGGCTAGCCTGGGCTACATGAAGCCCTGTCTCAAAAAGCAAAACAAGTTGGACAGTGGTGGTGCACGCCTTTAATCCCAGCATTTAGGAGGCAGAGGAAGGGATCTCTGAGTTCCATGACAGCCAGGGTTACATAGAGACATCCTGTCTTGAAAAACCAAACGAGGACTAGGTGCCACTTCTTTTTTTAAAAAAATATTTATTTATTATGTATACAATATTCTGTCTGTGTGTATGCCTGCAGGCCAGAAGAAGGCACCAGATATCATTGCAGATGGTTGTGAGCCACCATGTGGGTGCTGGGAATTGAACTCAGGACCTTTGGAAGAGCAGGCAATGCTCTTAACCTCTGAGCCATCTCTCCAGCCCACTAGGTGCCACTTCTTATCCTGTGTGCATGCCCCCATTTATTTATTTATTTGTTTATTTATTTATTTATGGTTTTTCAAGATAGGGTTTCTCTGTGGTTTTGGAGCCTGTCCTGGAACTAGCTCTTGTAGACCAGGCTGGTCTCGAACTCACAGAGATCTGCCTGCCTCTGCCTCCCGAGTGCTGGGATTAAAGGCGTGCGCCACCACCGCCCGGCTATGCCCCCTTTTAAAACACTGGCTACACGAGCTCCTGGCCTTTGCCTCCAAATGCTGCAATAAAGGCGTGTACCACTTGCGGTTTACGCTAGGGATGGAAGCCAAGGCCTTGCGCGTGCTAACCAGGCATTTCACCAGGCATGCTAACCGGGCACTACAAGCAGGCAGTACAGGTATTCCACCGCGCATGCTAACCAGGCACTTCACCAGCCAATCAGCAAGCATCCTATCAGCTCCCACACATCTCTGGGGGCTGGACGGTGGAACAGGGTGTGTGAACCCCCTAAGCTTGGCTGTGGACAGGCTACGGAGGTTTAAATGGTTTTCTGGAAGCTGAAACGGACAGAATCCGTCTGTCTCCTGAGACCAGCCTCCAACCAGGCCACGCTGCCTAGTGTGGTCAGTGCTGGCTGGTGCAGGTGCAGGAAAGAACTGGGTCCTGCCGTGGGGTCAGGGACATCGGGGAGGGCTTTCTGGAGGACAGCTGGAGTCTCCCTTAAAGGCCAAATAAAGTTTCCGCCAGGGACAAAGAGCAGTGTGACTGGGGGCTGCCAGGTGCAGAAAGACCCTGGGCGAATGGGCGGAGACGGGGCCCAAGGATGGAACGGATCCAGACTCAGACTAGGGGAGGCAGTGGGAAAAAAGCCTGGTGCCGCCAAGTCCACCCTTAGTGCAAGCAGGGGGAGCAAGCCTGAGGTGGACTGCAGCTGGGGACGGGTCCCCCCTCCCTGCACCCCTCCCTGCAGGGCAGTGTGGAACCTCACCACTAGGGAGAGTGTGCTATCTCCCTTGGTTGACGTCCCGTCTATCTAGTCTCCAGCCCCGGATGTGTAGCCAACACATTTAAATGACAAATAAGGGTTTCAGGGGTTCCCACATTACAACGCCACTCCTGAGGATAGCAGGTTTGTTGAATGACTGAATGAGTGTTAGAATGAGTGTTCAGTGGTTGCCATAAGCAGGGACAGGTTATGTCTGGGAGGATCTAGGGCAAACATTAGGAGCTTATAATGGAAGACTGGACATGGCCAGAGTCCAGGGCTGGGCTGTAGAAATGACTGAGTCTGTGCCAGGAGAGTAAGGGTCCGTATGTCGTAGTCAAGCCAGCAGCACGCGTGCCAAGCAGGGGCACACATACACTCACTAGGTGCTTAATACACGCTAAACACATGTGTGGGTCAAAGAGGAGGTCTGTGTTCCTGGGGCAGAAAAGAATGAGCCCACAGTAGGTGTTCAGTCCATGATGAGTGGGTGTGTGGTCCGTGTTCCAGCAGCAAGCACACCAAAGTCAGTGCTGACCACAGAGCTGCTGTGGCTCCACAGACCTTGAGTGGGAGTGTGTTGAGCACACCCTGGGTGAACGGTGTGTGCACAGGGTTGGCGGTGTGGCCGAGGTCTGATCGCTTTTCCACAGCCCCACAGGCAGCAGCCGCTATGCCTCCTCCGGGGAGCTGAGCCAGGGTAGTTCTCAGCTGAGTGAGGACTTCGACCCCGATGAGCACAGCCTACAAGGCTCGGAGCTGGATGACGAAAGGGACCGCGATTCCTATCACTCCTGCCACAGCTCCGTGAGCTACCACAAGGACTCGCCCCACTGGGACCAGGGTGAGGAGGATTTGGAAGATGAGGAGCTGCCCGAGGAGGAAGAGGAGGAGGAGGAAGAGGAAGAAGAGGAGGAGGAGTTAGAGGAAGAGTTAGAGGAGGAGGAGGAGGTGCCCGATGACCTGGCTAGCTATGCCCAGCAGGAAGACACTACTGTGACTGAACCCAAAGAGTTCAAGCGCATCAGCTTCCCACCGTCTGCACCTCAGAAGGAGGATAAGGTCCCGACTGTGCCCACAGAAGCCCCTGATGTGGCCAAGGGCATCCCCAAGCCGACCACCCCTGAAGAGATGGCAGCAGCAGAACGCACACAGGAAGCCGAGCCCCCCAAGGTTGAAGAGAGGTATCTGGAGGTCTGAGGTACAGGGCACTCATCAGGCCAGGATGCAGAGGGCTCTGTGGGCCCTGGAGGGCTGCCCAGTGGGTGGGCAGAGTGTGAACAGGAGGTCAGGGTTCCTTAGAAACATTCTGAGCCTCTGTCTGCCTTCCCTGGCTTAGTTTCAGGTCTCGAGAGGATGAGGAGGGCCAGGAAGGGCAAGACGCCATGTCCAGGGCCAAATCTAACTGGCTGCGAGCTTTCAACAAGGTGCGGATGCAGCTGCAGGAGGTAAGTGATAGGCGCAGCCCATGCATCACCTGTCCACGGCTGCCATGGAGGCCACGCCCACCAAGACTTCATCACCACACACTAGCGTGACTCTGCTCAACGATATCATGCCCACCACCACCACACCCTGCTTGACAACAGACTTTTGGGAAGGTCACTGCCTGGACTCTCCCGGGCCTGGCCCTGTTCTGACCCCCTGGCTCCACACCCATCAAAACTGGGCTGGAGCATCAGGAAGCCAGATGCTTAGATCATCCTACGTCATAGTGCAGATATTCCAAACCAGGTTTCTTCTCCATTTAAGAAGAGAATGTAGCCGGGCGGTCGTGGTGCACGCCTTTAATCCCAGCACTTGGGAGGCAGAGGCAGGCGGATCTCTGTGAGTTTGAGGCCAGCCTGATCTACAGAGCAAGTTCCAGGATAGTTAGGGCTATTACACAGAGAAACCCTGTCTCAAAAAATGAGAGAGAGAGAGAGAGAGAGAGAGAGAGAGAGAGAGAGAGAGAAATAGAGCTGGAGAAACAGCTCAGCAGTTAAGAGCACTGACTGCAGAGGACCTGGGTACGAGTCTCAGCACCACATGGAAGCTCATATCTGTCTATGGCTCTGGTTATAAGGGACCCAACGTCCTCTTCTGGCCTCTGTGGACACTAGACACACATGTGGTACACAGACAGATGCAGACAAGACATCCATACACATAAAAATAAACATAATTTAAAAAAGATTAGAGATGTTTAGCTGGATGTGATGGCATAGGACTATCATCACAGCATTTGAGAGGCTGAGGCAGGGGGATTGCAGTTCAAGGTCAGTGGGAGCTACCTAGTAAAACCTGGTCAAAAAATAAAATAAAAAAGAGCCCAACGAGACTCTATGGGAAAATGATGTCACAAGTTTAGGGCTGACAGATGATGTTTGATTGACAGGTGCTCTGTGTCTTGCAGCCTGCTTTTACAGACTTGAGCCCCGAAAGCCTGGGGGTACAGAGGAGGTGCAGGACTGGCTTTCCTGACTCCTCACCCACGTGGGAGACAGACGGGGCATACAGCTTGACCTGGGAGTAGAGGGTTGACCCCACTGACCACTGCGTCTGTCTGTCTTTCCTGCAGGCACGAGGAGAAGGAGAGATGTCGAAGTCCCTGTGGTTCAAAGGCGGGTGAGTAGGGAGACGTCCTGAATATGGGGAGATTTTTCTTTCTTTGGTTTTGGTCTTTGCAAGACAACGTTTCTCTGTGTAACAGCGCTGGATGTCCTTGAACTCACTCTGTAGACCAGGCTAGCTTCAAACTTAGAGACCCGCCTGCCTCAGCCTGCCAGGTGCTGGGATTAAAGACGTGTCACTACACCTAGCAACTATTATTATTTGAACGGGGTCTCGCTGTGCCTAGGAAGTCCTCCCGCCTCAGCCTTTTGAGTTACTGCCTGTTTAATCCTTTTGTGTAAGGGTTGCCAGTCTATGCCAACCTACCCATAAGAGAACCGGCAGCCCAAACAATCACCCCCTAGGTGTGGGCTGAAGTGCTTCTTCATTTGCCAGGCAGCTGAACTCTCAGTGCAGGGGAAGGTCAAGGGTCCTGCCTGCCCTTCCCAGCAACAGGCCTGGGTGCTCACTCTCCCTGTGTATCTTGCAGCCCAGGAGGTGGCCTCATCATCATTGACAGTATGCCGGACATCCGGAAACGGAAGCCCATTCCCCTCGTGAGCGATCTGGTGAGCAGTGGGACCGTTGTGAGCAGTGTGCGACCTGTACAACTGCCTGTGGTGGCCCTGAGGCCAGGGACTGCCCAGGCAGGCCTCGGGACTAATGTAGCCTGATTTCCATCCCCATGCTTCCGGGACCCCAGGCTATGGTGAGTGATGGTGAGGGGGGGGTGTGTCTCTCCCCAGACAGCGCCCCCCCCCCCCCGCACCGTGTGAGTCCCACGTCACGGGCGGGAGAGCAGGTGTTCTCATGCTCCAGCTGAGAGTTTTGCTCAATGCTTGGCTGGTGTCTCCCAAGTCCCGCATTCTGGGTGTGTGAAGTTCACTTCCCAGGATTCCCTCTGACACCTGCCCCGTCCTGCGACCTCGCTTGTGCCACCCGCCCCGTCATGCGACCTCGCTTGTGCCACACGCATTGCATTCACACACTCACTGGTGACCTTCCCGCCACAGTCACTGGTCCAGTCGCGGAAGGCAGGCATCACCTCCGCCTTGGCTTCCAGCACGTTGAACAACGAGGAGCTGGTGAGTTGGGGGTGGGGTGGGCCCTAGGTGTGCCCCTGTGGCGATAGAGGAGCAGGGCGTGGGACTGGCGTGGGACACCCTAGCCCCACGCGGCCCTCGTTCCCTGCAGAAAAACCACGTTTACAAGAAGACCCTACAAGCCTTAATCTACCCCATCTCCTGCACCACGCCGCACAACTTCGAGGTGTGGACGGCCACCACGCCCACCTACTGCTACGAGTGCGAGGGGCTGCTGTGGGGCATCGCGCGGCAGGGCATGCGCTGCACCGAGTGTGGCGTTAAGTGCCATGAGAAGTGCCAGGACCTGCTCAACGCCGACTGCCTGCAGCGTGAGGGGCGGGGCCGTGTGGCTAGGGTGGGCGGGGCCGCGTGGGGCGGGCGGGCGGGGCCCCAGAGGAGAGGGAAGGGCCAGGCCTGGTGTGAGCTGAGGGGGAGTGGATAGGCTGCAGCGGGCGAATCGTGGGCGTGGCAAGGCCAGGCAGTTTAGAGTCCTGCAGACTGAGAAACAGTGGGCGTGGTTTGGTGGGCGGGACTTAAGCTAGGAGAGGGGCTCCATGGACTTTTGCAAAGCGATTCTCAACTTGTGGTTTACGACCCTTTTTGGGGGTCGCGTATCAGATATCAGGTATTTATATTACGACTCATAACAGCAACAAAATAATTTTGTGGTTGGGCTCACCACAACATGAGAAACTATTAAAGGGTGTCGAAGCGTTAGGAAGGTTGAGCGTAAGGCTGCAGGAGTGGAGAGGAGCCGAGGCGGTAGAGGGTGCTGGTCTGCGCAGGGGCTTTTGGGTGAGAAAGGCACATCTGCCCTACAACTGTGTCTTAGGGGTGAGGGAATTGAAGGCTGGTCAGCAAAGTGTGCACGATCTGACAGGCGGGGCGGTGAGAGGAAGGCTGCGTGAGCGTGCTCAGGCGGTGATGGATCGGTGACAGTAGAGGGAGGGAGCGCGGCTTGGGTAGGGTGTGGCTTGGAGGGGTGCATCGCAGAGGGGTGTGCCCTCAGTTGGCCTCAGACACGGGCAGAGACTTTGTGTAGGTATGGCTCACTGTGAGGTCAGGGCCCCGGACTCAGTGGACAGGGAATATAGAGTGTATCACGGGGCGATGCCTTGGGCGAGGCGCAGAGGTGGGCGGAGACTCAAGGGAATTGGCTCTGGGATGGCAGGAGACTAGGCGGTAAGTGGCCAAGTCAGAGTAGCCTCAGAGGGCGTAGTATAGCCAGAGGAGGGCCTGTGGGGGCTGACCTGGGTGGAGGGTTGGAGGCGAATAGCGGGATACCAAGGCCAGGTGCATCTGCATCCCGTCCGCAGGGGCGGCGGAGAAGAGCTCTAAGCATGGTGCGGAAGACCGCACGCAGAACATCATCATGGTGCTGAAGGACCGCATGAAGATCCGCGAGCGCAACAAGCCCGAGATCTTCGAGCTGATCCAGGAGGTCTTCGCCGTCACCAAGAGCGCCCACACACAGCAGATGAAGGCTGTCAAGCAGAGTGTGCTGGACGGCACGTCCAAATGGTCCGCCAAAATCAGCATCACAGGTGCGCATGCGCAGACAGCCCCCGGAGAGGTAACCAAGGGTTGCATGGAAGCAGAATACAGAGGGAAGGCTCCAGCTTGAGGACCTCAGGGAAGCGTCTTCTCATATTCATACGAAAGTGGCCCCACCCATGGCTCATAAATGGGTGGGTGGGTAGGGGTGCATGCTTGCCTATCAATGGTTGGGTAGGTGGATGAGAGGAAGAGGGGAGATAGATGGGTGAGCGGGTGGGTGAGTAGGTTGATGGTGGGTGGGTGGTGGAGAGAAGGCTGGGTAGCTGCAGAACTGAACGTGCGGATGAATGACAGGAGAGAGGGACGGGTAGGTTGATAGGTGCACATATCAGCTTGCGGGTCTGTGGCAACTCTCTAGCAAGACAGCTGGGCTGTCTCTGTGGCTGGCCCATGCACAGGCCTCCTGGGCATGTGCTAGTGACTTCTTGGCAAGTTCCCCTCTTGAAAGCACATTGTGTTGTATCTTCCAGTGGTGTGTGCCCAGGGTTTGCAGGCCAAGGACAAGACAGGATCCAGTGATCCCTATGTCACTGTCCAGGTTGGGAAGACCAAGAAAAGGACAAAAACCATCTATGGGAACCTCAACCCGGTGTGGGAAGAGAATTTCCACTTGTGAGTGACTGGCTGGGTCCCCAGCTCCAAACTAGGCTCGCTTCTGGGCCAAGTCATAGGGGTCTCTGAAGCGGGACCCAGAGCACCTGCCTGAGGCCAGCCCTTCAATCTGACTCCCCACACAGTGAGTGCCACAACTCCTCTGACCGGATCAAAGTGCGCGTCTGGGATGAAGACGATGACATCAAGTCCCGCGTGAAGCAGAGGTTTAAGAGGGAGTCGGATGACTTCCTAGGGCAGACGATCATCGAGGTGCGGACACTCAGTGGCGAGATGGATGTGTGGTACAATCTGGGTGAGTGAGGGCAGGCTCAGGGGAGCTCAACAGTCAGGGAGGCTGCAGACCAGGTTCCCTGGAACCTCCTCATGTCCCTCACCACCCACAGACAAGAGAACAGACAAGTCGGCCGTGTCAGGGGCCATTCGGCTTCACATCAGTGTGGAGATCAAAGGGGAGGAGAAGGTGGCACCCTACCATGTCCAGTACACCTGTCTGCATGAGGTAAGCCCCCATCCTCCAGTGCCAAGAGACAGACAGTTGGCTCCTTCATCACCATGCCTGCCACCCTTCCTCCCAGACACACTGTGCCTCACAGGGCTCCCTTCACCTGAGACTCTCCTACGTGAGCACCAAGCCCCACCCAGGGATCCCTACCTGGCCTCCTGGGCGGCCCCAGAGATGAGCTCTCCCCTGTCCCCAGGTGGGGCTGCTCAATAAGTGCTGCGTAATGATTGGAACGAAGATCAGTGGACTCAGGGATGATTGGGGTGTGGCTGAGGATGTGAGTGGATTCGAATAGGTAGATGGGGTGGAGTTGGATGATCTTAGAAAGAAGGCGGGTGTTTGGGAGGACTTGGGAGTAGCTGGATGCATGGAAAAGTGGATGATGGTGGAGAGAGATTGGGGTGGGCGGGCAGATGGGTGGGTGGGGGGGGGGGGGGGGGGGGGGGGGGGGGGGGGGGGGGGGGGGGGGGGGGGGGTGGGTGGGTGGATGGATGGATGGATGCAGGGGGAGGAGTTATATGCCAAGATACTGGGGACTGGTCCAGCCATGTAAGGTAGCAAAAGGCCATGTTTGAGCCTCTGTTTCTCTCATCCTGCCTGA